GTCATCCGTACGCAAGGAAGTAAGCACAAGATGCCGAACACCCTTAGCAGGATGCAGCTCACCCTTCATGCGACTCGCCAAATACCTCACGGCGCTTCGCGCTTGGTGATGTGAGAGCCTGGTCCGGTGAGAACCCGGCGTGCTCCGTCCCGGCTTTGTAGGGATGCGAGGTCAATGGTCAAACGACTACGGCATGCACGACTATGAGTACACCCACCCCCCACCCCCCCCGTTGTGTCTGGGGCGGCCTTCGCGAGAAATTATGTTTATTTGGGAAATTGAACGGGGAGGGGGTACGCAGACCCGATTCCTTAGCCCTACTCCTAACCGAACCTCCCCGATTGCATGCTTTGTCCAACAAGTTTTCCTCTTTGTTCTAGAAAAACCCTGCGAGGGCTACTGTGTGTCTCGTTGGCGTGTCATGAGATGCGCAATGAACATGAAGCGTTTTTTATCTGGATCGCCGTACGGTTCGCAATGGCCATGGTTTTTTGCTCGTCAGCAGTCTGAGCTTGCTGCTGCACCAGCAGGAGACGTGTTGTTTTACAACCCCGCCAACCTGATTTTGTGCTCTCGTGTTTGCCATGGACATGTGACGATGCATGAGAGTGTGAACTTGGGTTGGGCGATTTTGCCTTTGTTTCGCAGAAAGGGCGGGACCATCTCTACCCGGGGGTCTAGAGGTGTTGCCCCCAGCTTTGCTCTGTGCAGGCTTGCCTCCGCATGTTTGCGAGAAATTATGATGTTTGCTCTTGCATGGTGGTTGGACCTGTGTGCCTCCGCCCCGCTGTCCTGACGGTGGTGGTCGGTTGTCGACAACGTCGTCGTCTTTGGCCACAGCGTGCCGCCGTTTGTCTTGATGGTTTCGACGGGAGAGAACACACATCGTCCTTTCAACTATGTCCTCACCCCTTCGACCCTGATTGGATACTGCTGTATGTAGGCCTAACCCTGACCGCTGCGAGCACGGTGTACATGCTGGACCCAGTCTGGAGCGCCGCCGACGAGGCTCAGGCTCTCAACCGGGCGCATCGTATCGGTCAGGTGAGAAACTGTAGTGACACAGCTCAGACAGTGAGACAGTGCGCGAGCGACACAGTGGGAGAGTGGCACAGTGGCACAGTGGCACAGTGAGAGAGTGACGCGATGAGACGGTCAGACAGCAACAAGTGAGAAAGTGAGGGAGTGAGAGAATGACTGCACAGCGGTGGCACTGTGAGAGCGTTAGACAATGACACACGGAGAGAGTGGCACAGTGGCGCAGTGAGAGGGGTGACGCAGTGAGACTGTGAGAGCGACACACTGAGAGGGTGGCACAGTGACACAATAAGAGAGCGTGCGACAATCAGACAGCGCCACAGTGAGAGTGAGTGAGTGTCTATGCAGCAGTACGACAGTGAGACAGTGAGAGCGTGGCAATGACACAGTGATAGAGTGAGTGCGTGACAATGACACAGTGAGAGAGTGAGTGAGTGAGTGAGTGAGTGAGTGAGTGAGTGAGAGAGTGAGAGAGTGAGTTGCACGGTGACACAGTGAGGAAGGCCTAGAGAGACATGGTGTGTGCAAGTACAATATTGTGACAGGAAGAGTATTCTGAAAGATTCTCGCCTCGTCCCGCGGTGGGCTGGTTCGATTGACCTCGAACCACATCCGTTGCAGTCCTGGAACCCAACAGCAGTGGTATTGTTGTGATGCGTTCGTGAGTGAAATGACAATCGTGCCGCCGTACGTGCGCCGCCATACCGCTTTGTGTTACTACCACCTCCAGCCTCTCGCCGCGCCCCGCGCCCTCCTGTGCAAAACATTATTTCTACTTCTATTACCTTTGGGGTATTTTCCCAATGTAACATGATGTGTGTTGCCCTTCCTTTTTGGATGTGTGTGTTGACTTTTTTTTTCTTTCTCTTTTTTGCGGCGAGAATAGACGCACACTGTTCGATGCGTGGTGTTCTACATGAAGGACAGCGTGGAAGAGCGTCTCCTGGCTCTTCGCCACTCCAAGGTACGAGTAAAGTGCTGACGCTCGCACGAAGTTGTTGTTAAACGGCCGCCAGACACCAGTGGTTGGTGCGGGTCACTGCTGTCTAGCTGTCAAACTGTCGAAATGTCGCTGGAAACCGGTGTCGTCGTCGTCTGTGCCATAAGTGTTGGTATACGATTATCATTTGACATTATTGTCCTGGCAGCTCCTCCCGTGTCAGCACTTGCTGGCCTCAGCAACCCAGAGCAGCCCTACTTCCGTCTCGATGCTTGGTTCGAATCGCTCGAGACGAACTTAAGCAAACAAGCAAGGGGCATGCAAACTGTTTTGCCGCGGTCTCTGATTGATCAAACCTTGTTCTTCCAATAGCTCGAAGTTGGCCGTGCTGGAGTACCAGTAAATTTAGCAGCGGTATGATTTCGGCCGTGCTCTTCTCCCATCCTCGCCTGGAACCAGTCGCGGTGTGCTGCGCGGTCACCCGTCCTTCTAAGCTTGAAGAATGTGCGAGTCGCACACAACACCCGCCTCCTAGATCAACTTGTTCACGAGGAATACCCTGGATGTTTCGTTTCTTCAAAGCTCTATTGCAAGAGTCGCCTGCTGTGTGTCCCCTGACGCGAACTGTGTTTGTGAGGCATAGTCGGGAGCCTCTCCTTGCACCAGAGCTATTGTACCTAGCTCATCGTTTGCGTGCTTTTGTGCGTTGCGTCTCCCTGTGGCTGGCTGCGGTGCTGCTATGTATCCTTACAGGGAAACTTCGCCCAGTTCCTGGAGAGCGCTGACTCAGTGGTGAGCCTGGCGGCGCCTGAAGGGAGTGGGAGCGGATCGTCCTCCCCGTTGTCGTCTTCCTTCGTCAACATGTTCGCCCTGCCGGAGCTCAAGGTGAGAGGGGGGGGGGGGGGGGGGGGCACGCGAAATGGGGTGCTGAATGAAGGTGGAAGCGGTGTGTGGTGCTCTTGTGGTTTGCAACGGTTCGCGGTTTTGCTGCTGCGGCTGCTGCTGCGTCTGCGTCCGGCTGAGTGTGGGATATCAATCAGACTCACCTTTTAGAACCCGGTTAGACCTCTTCGATTGAGCCCGCCACTGGTGATGGACTTGCCGAGGGCTTTCGAAGAACGCACGCACCACGGATGTACGTATGCGCGCCCCTATTCCATTCCATTTTTTTGTGGAAACGCCGGCGAGAATCACGGTTGCGCGCGCCGCTGTGTGAACACCTCCCGGAAGGAGGTGGGGCCTGGGGTGCAGTAGGACTTTTTCTTGGACGCTGTGTGCTGCTGCCGCCGCCCAAGGGTGACGAGTGTTGGTGCATTCAACATTGCTCTTTCACTGGCGGCGCGCGCGAGCAGTTTCATCGATACAAAACTAACACGGAGTGCGGAACACACCGCCTCGCACCCCGTGCACCTGCTCGCAGAAACTGTTCGGCATGGTGGGCTCGCAACCCGCCGGCGCCACCGGTGGTGCTGCTGCTTCTTCTTCTTCTTCTACCCCTGCCCAACGCGGAGGCGGTAGCGGTAGCGGTGGCGGCTGGAGCAGCCACGCGGCCGGTGGCGGACCTGGGAGCTCCGGTGTGGGCGCCGGGGTTGGTGCGCGCGTCCCGTTGGGCTATCTCAGCTCTTCCGATAGCGACGACGATGACAGTGATGGCGACAGCGACCGCAGCCTCGCAGTGGGAGGCGGCGGAGGAGGAGGAGGTGGTAGGGCGAACCAGGAGCAGCGGGACTTGGCGAGGGCGATGGCGATGTCGCGGGCTGTGTTTGAGGTACGTTTTGTGAGCGCGGTGGATGTCTTGGTTGGAAGAGGCTGCTGTAGTTGTTGTGTTGCTGCCGGTGGTGTTCGTTGTTGTTGATGAATGGAGGGAGGGTGATTTACTTTTGCTGTGTTTCTGGCACACAAAGCCCAACACTTATTTCGTTATCTCTGGTACGTTTGCCGGCATTTTCTCGTATGTTGTCGCATACAATTGCTCTTCGAAAGCAAGTCCTTCGCCGAAGCTAGTTGGTCCCCTCCCTCTTTCCCCCTCGCTCCCTCTCTCGCGCATCAACTGTTTTTCTTATCATCTCAAGACTTTTTCGGCCGCTCTAGTTTGTCAAGTCGAAGCTAGCTGCGTGTGTCGCCTCTTTTGCCTGAGGTACAACAGCACCTCGAATTTGCTGTAATCCAACACGGACCTCGGTGTGGATACCTTTGAGAACATTGAGCTGTGGCAGCAGGTTCACCCCCGCCCCCCCCGGTTGCACCGTGTGATTTCGCTCGACTGTTTCGCTGTTGCCCAGGCTGGTCATTTGGGAAGAGCCAGTGGTGGTGGCGGTGGCGCGGGCGCTGGGGGTGGAAGCGGCGGTGCCGCTGGTTCTCCCCTTGACCTCACCCGCCCCTAACGCGGAGGTAGCGTGGTTTTTATGTTTGTGTGAGGGTCTTGTGTAGGACCGGAGTTTTTTAGGTGGTGGTTGTAGTGGCAGCGAAGCTGCTGACTGGTCTCGGTGGGGCGGGAAGCAGCGACGCTGGTGAAGCGAGAGACTCGAGTTGTTTCGACGGGTGGCCGAGCGAGTTTGTTTGGAGCGGCCACAGGGAAGTCCACGACGCCCCCCCCCCTCCCGCCCTTTGCATATTTCTGTCGGCCGCATCATTCGCGATGGAACACTGGGGTGTGGCGAAGGGTGTACGATGGAAGCCCAATGCGTTGTAACGGTACGGGATTTGATGCTGTCTCCCCATCGTTTGTTGGGAACTTGGATACACAGGGGGGATCCTGTAGGTGGATAGTTGTGTTGCATTTTTGTTTCTGTTTTTGCTGGTTGATATTGCCTTATATCGCCTTATGTTCTGAGAGAGCCGTTGCGTTGTTTTCTTGTCTGTATCGAGGTGCGGAGGGCGTGAACAAGGGCGGCGGCCGGTATTTTTTCTCGCACAAGGTGCTACAGTAGTTGGGCTGTTTTTTTTTACCAGAAACGTGAAACAAAGATTAACGGGCAGCAGCGCGTAGCAAACCCCTTTGCCAGAACTTGATACTACTGCGAGTGGTTTTGTTCATTATGCTTGCCGAAAGACGCACAGCTGTGGCTCTACTCTCAATGCGTGTATGTAGAGATAGAGATGAAGGTGCGGCCACGATAACAAAAAGCATTATGGAGCATTTTCTTGTTGTGTGCTCGTTTTGTGGCGATTTTCGTGTGGCGCAATTCAACGAAAGTTGCTGCGCTTCACCCTGTACCGAATATTGGAGTCTTTTCCCCTGCAGAGCTCGGCGTGTGCGCGCAGGGAGGCCGGCTTGTGCCACGTGGGTATTTTGTATCTCGAGGGGCAGGTGAGACCGCCACACAAGAAAAAATGTTCGGTTTTTTTCCGCGTCGGGATGTTGGTGTCGGTAAAATTCTGTAGCGGTTTGCATATTTCCCACCCCGGCATTTTTCGTGTTTGTGAACGGTCTGCAGTACTTCCGGAGCGGGCTTGAACGAGGAGGGCGCGGGGTCCGGGGATAGTGTAGATGCCCCATCGCCCAGGCTTCGACCGCCGTGTGCTGGACACAAAAATCTGCGCACCTGGGTTTGATTTTCGGCGCAGCCTCGGAAGTGAATCTGGCCCTGCGACAAGCTGAAACAGAATGATGGTTGCATGCAATTTCGACGAGGGGATGGCATGTTGCGTTTTTGTGTGATATATTGATGGAGGTGGGGTCACGGGCTTGCTGTTGTTCTGGAGAACAGTAGGAGGGTGAAAGTAGGCACGCTGTGTCCCACTCCGGCTTTCCTGTTGACACGTTCTCTCTGCATAGATTTGAACGGCCCGTGTTGTTGTTGCTGCTGCTACTGCTGCTGCCGACGGTCACATGATTCATTGTAGTTCATTGGTTTATTCAATACCGTCTAGAGGGCGGTGTATACCAGACCCTGATGGGCCGAGTGTCAGAGCTTGCTTGCTCCACTGTTTTACGAAAGAAAGAGGGTGTCAAATGCGAACGCTCTCTCAGGGAAGCCATCTCCAAGATTATAGTATGAGGTTTTAACAACACTGCCTTCTCGGCACCCGGCACTTGCTGTCTCACGTGAAAAATATCTTGAAAAATGAAATCAAGCCGAAAAAGACCTCCGACCAAGGGGAACCGATCTGACCGCCGAACACGGAAGATATGCGAAGTATCCTGAACGGAATAGCCGCAAGTGGTCGTGCGATTCAATCCGAGGTGGCCTAACGGTGTTCTCGGCGTCGGGTCGTTGTCGGCAGATACGTGCGCCTCCCCACCGAGCAATCCTCCAACCCCAAAGCACGACAACGTATTCATTCGTTGCCGGTTGCAGGGAGTGACCGCTTTCGTTTGTTTGCGGAATGGGCAGAAGTCGGCACATCGAAGAAAATATTCATACTGCGGCAATGACTGCCGATCAAGAGGCTGTATGTCGCGGGCGCGTAACCCGAACGAAAGCAGAAATCGGTTGAGTAAGTATAACCTCGAATCTTGTCGTGTCGGACACAATGAAACGACCCAGCAACTGGAGGAGTCTCATCAGGGAGGACGGTGACGGTGACCATATTACAATTATTGAATTTGCCTGCACAACTACGTACCCCTATGCGCGGGTCGTGCCGCAGCGGCGGGGGGAAGGTCTGTGGTCTGTGAGTGCCCTTCGGATGTTGGCCTAGGCTCCGCACACACACGTGATGTGTCACACATATATATGTAGCTCATCACACGCCGTGGACGAGCCAACCCATCCCAACCCAACCGCACAGCAGTAACCCTCACCCACCGTCAACGCATGGCCTAGCGGCCGCGAACTAGGCGAGAACGCGGCTGCGCCGCGTTGACGGAAAGTCGAAACGCGGAATGTGTACTGTAGAGAGATAGAGAACGCTGGAGAGGAACCACCCGCCCGAACAAACGCTACGCTCGCTCGACCATTGGCGCGACGCAACGCACGAGCACTGTGGCGAGAACCGGAATTTTCACTCGGAAAATCCGGGTTGTCTTGAAATAATGTCCCCGGCTATGTAGACTACCCCTAAATGTTTCAATTATGCGCGTTTCCACCGAGATGGCTGTTGACAACGGGATTTCCTCCTGTACATGCACTGTAAGGAAGAAGAAGAACAGAATGGGACTTGGACGTCGCCTCATGATATCCTACCAGCAGGTAGCGTACGATTCCGCACACCGCTGTAACATGGCTGTTGGATTTGGGCATCATGCGTGAATGTGATCCTCTGTCCTCATAACTTTTTGTCCTGGTGCTTGCCGAGTAGCGGTATGTTGTACAAGCAGGAGGATGTTTAGGCAGCATGCCATGAGCGAAGGACGCCTGTTTTGGCGCACTGTGCGGACTGCAGCATGTGCATTTGAGCAAATAAATGTGGAGTCCCCTTTCACCTCTCACCTGCTGGTGTACACAATGTCTACACATATCATACCCACATGCTCGTGGCGGGATCCCCTCCGTTGGGACCCTACCGGTATGTACATTTATTTCGTCATTTCGTCCCAAGGTTCTTTCTGAGCTACAGGCAGCTCATCATGATATATCGCAATGACAATCCAAGAAGGACCAACGCGTTCCACTGTTGTTACGTGCTCGTAGACTGACTGCTGTCTAGACCACACTGCTGTGTACATGTACGTGACCAACGTAGACTATGTAGGTACTGCTGTACGTGCTGTGTCGAGAGCAGCAGCAGTGTAGGTAGGGCGGGGGAAATAACGACGAGCGTCGGGTGAAGCTAGTCGGGTGACGACTCAATAGCTTGCATAGGCTATCTATCTACGACGCTGTGCGATGCTTGACTGTGCGCGAGATGATCAAGGAAGAAGAGCAGAAGGAGGAGCCCCGCGCATGGTTGGTACAGTAGTGTGCACGCGGCACAGTCGTTTGACGGACGAGCACGTACACACACAACACGTGCCTGTTGTTGGTAAATCTTCACATTCATGCGGTCAAATTTTTCCCGCTAATAATGAATGATGCAATTCGCTGACCTCGGGTGTTCTTGTATTTATCAAATTCTTCGTTCATCACACGTCACGCTCCGCACTTACTTTGGAACGAACAATTACAGTATTCGATGGCTCTTGCCGATGTGCGGGTATGTATGGGTATGCACCCGCAGGGCCGGAAAAAAAGTGAACGTTTGTGGTACTTTGGATGTGTGTCCGATCTACATGCGTTGTATGCGCCTGATGGGGGGTACGTGAATGGGTATGTATGAAGTGTATTGGGGGTAGGAGAAGACCCCTGGTGCTGGAGAGAGAAAGAGCCCACGAGCTCACTTGCCTGAGGGGCTTGCGTGACGAATATATACGATACATGGTCCTTTTTTATCAGCTGTTCCTGGGATAACATAGTCCCCAGTCTCAACACCACAGACCGCTGAGGGCGGCAGTGCACTAACACGATATCGTGGAGCCTAGCTAGGCCAGGTGTTGGTACAGCGATGACGGAAAGAGAGAGAGAGTTGTTGGAAGAAAGAACGAAGAAAGCGGAAGCCGAGAGTGCGGAGTTACGGAGGAAACTTGAGGAGGAAAGGGAGCGCAGTTCAGCGGGGGACGCTACGAGAGATAGGGTGGATGGCGCTGGGTACGCGTCGGGGTATTATAGGGGTGGAGCAGCCGGGGTGGCGGACACCTTTGGAGCCGGGGGAGCGGCTACTTCTTTTCGAGATGGTCCAGTGCAACAGCAGTACAGGGACCGCAAGCCACCAGTGTACGACGGCAACTTCCCGCTCTTCAAGATGATGATATTCGAGGTCTTCCTCGCCGGCGAAGATCTTGGGCACACACTCACTCCGCCGGCGAGTCCTGACCAACGCATCTGGCTCATACACACATCCAGGAGCGAGAACATCAGATTCCACAGTGAGAAGCGTGTGCGTGATCACGAGCGTGCTTTCGATTACTTGAGGCGAGCCACGAAGGGGGCGAAATTTCAATCGACAATTCTTGCTTAAGGGAATGTGTCGGGGGCATGGGAGGCGGCCCAGGAGTTTTGTCTTCCGATGAGTAGCTCTGAAAAGGAGGCCCTGAAGTTGTCTCTCGCTAACATGAAGATGCAGCTCGGCGAGGACCCGCAAGACTACTTTCTGAGGTTTAACAAAGTGCTGAATACGCTTCGCGCTGTCAACGGTTATGAAATCCCGGAAAGTGAGGTCCTTGCGACTTTACGTAGAAGCCTCTCGGCAGACTACGAACAGGTCAAGATCGTGCTCATGCATGATCACACGCTCACACGCAGAAGCTTAGAGATTCTTGTGCGTAGCCACCACGTTGAGAAAAATCTCGGTGATCGTGCGCAGCGGACGGCCGCGCCGGCTAGCGATCCGCACGCTCTCCGTTTCGGCGGAAATTCACGGCCCAACGGTAATGACGGCCCAACGGTAATGGCGGCGGCGGTGGCGGCGGCGGCGGTGGTGGTGGTCCGCAGCGGAGGACCGGTGGGGTTT